GGTCATATTTCTTTGGTGTAGTCATTTTCCAACTGACTGTGTGCATACATCCCTTAAAACTTCAAGTTACCACAGAAACTTCACAGGCCACAATTAGCTGGGAAAAGGACTCTCTGATGCATCACACCTTGCATAGTCATTTTCATGGGCTGCCTAAGAGCTTTCTCACAACGCATCTTCTCTTCAGAAACAGACAGTTTATCCACCATGTATGCCTTTTAAGTGGGCTTCCAGTTGGACTCATACGTGGAGTTGAGGTGGGGGTGGGATGTGCTGGAATGGACTCATGCATGGGGTTGAGGTGGGGGTGGGATGTGCTGGAATATCCTACTTTGCCATTTTACAAATGAGATTTTATTGCTGACTTGAAATGCTTCATTGTTTCTGGAAAATATTTCCCCATACTAAAAAGGAGGGCTGAAAAAGTTGAAAGCAGAATAAAACTGTAATAAATTGTAGAAACCAAATGTTCCAGCTCAACATGATTCGCATGGGGTTGAGGTGGGGGTGGGATGTGCTGGAATATCCTACTTTGCCATTTTACAAATGAGATTTTATTGCTGACTTGAAATGCTTCATTGTTTCTGGAAAATATTTCCCCATACTAAAAAGGAGGGCTGAAAAAGTTGAAAGCAGAATAAAACTGTAATAAATTGTAGAAACCAAATGTTCCAGCTCAACATGATTCAAAATATTTCTGGGAAGTTGCTGTTTTGATGGTTTTCTCCTTTGAGAAACCCCCAATCCATTTGTAAGTACCCATTCCCTATCCTGCTTTGATGGCTGAGTGAAAAGGGTATGAAATGCAATCCAGATTGCACTGTTCAAAAATCCTGTCTGTCCCATTCTCTGCTCTGCATTAAGCACTTTGTTTTGACTTCACAATTATTCTCAGGTATGTTATTTCCTAACACAAGAGAGTGTATGCATTGAGCTTCCTGACATAGGATTATGTCTGAGGCATTTTTACCGCAGGTTATTCTGTTTGGCAGAAAGGATCATGGAGGCAAATAAGATTAAGAAGGGCCACAAACATGTGACATATCAGTCTTCCTGCAAGGGAATTTGAGGTGGAGCCAGTTGCAAGTCTTATATACCATGAGTGCGGCCTGAGAGGCCTGTTTTATAATTGCAGCAACCAGAAGAATTAGTTAATGACTTAATGTGGTGATTTAATTCTATGACACTTATACAGGAGTGTTAATAGGAGAGAGTAAGATGTTAGGAACATTTTGCTTGTAAGTGCAAGGTAACAATCTACCAGATGCTTTCCCTAGACAGAATTTTTGCACAAAGAACTGGTATACCTTCATTGCTCAAGCTGAAGTGCTAGATCCAAGGTTTTCAAGAATTACATATAATTTGGGGGAATTTTGATTTTTCTTCCATAAAAACAGCTGACATGAAATTAACATGATAAACCTGGACATCCATTACCCTGGAGGCACCCTAGAGCATCACTTCCAGCTGCTGCTTCAGAACAATATGTGTCTTCTGCAAGTCCTCTGCTATAGGGAATTTCCTCAGATACCTTAAGGCATCTCAAATGGCTCTAAATGTCAGCGTGAGTGGCAAACTAAATTAAGTCCACACTGCTTTTCCTGAACATTACCAGGAAATAAAAATCTTAAAAGACATCCTGAGATGATGAGACTGCATCTTGAATCCTGTGTCTGTTTTGGGACCCTCACTATAAGAAGGACATTGATACACTGGATCATGTTCAGAGAAGGGCAACGGAGCTGGTGAAGGACCTGGAGCACAAGTCTTAAGAGGATCAGCTGAGGGAATTGGAGTTGTTTAGCCTGGAGAAAATGAGGCTCGGGGGTGACCTTATCACTCTCTGCAAATACCTGTGAGCCAGGTCAGGGTTGATCTCTTCTTCCAGGTAACAGGCAGTAAGATAAGAGAAAATGGCCACAAGATGTACTAGAGGTGGCTTAGATTGCATATTAGGAAAAATTTCTGCATGGAAAGGGTTGTCAAGCACTGGAATAGGCTTCCCAGGGAAGTGGTTGAGTCACCATCCCTGGAGGTATTTAAAACACGTGTAGATGTGGCACCAAGGGACATGGTTAGTGTTGGGCTTGGCAGTGATGGACTAAAGGTTGGACTGGATGATCTCAGAGGTCTTTTCCAACCTTAATGATTTTATGATTCTATGGACATATGAAACAGAGGCACACCAAAATAAAGGCACTCAGAATCACTTCAATCCACTTGAAAAATCTTAGTGTTGCACAGATTCAGCTGTCAACACTATATGTGTCTTACTGTTGGGACTAAGAGCTGCTGGGATGATAAGAAGGAAGTGTATGAACAAGAGAGATGTCATGGTTACAGAAAGCTTGATGACGACAGCATAACCACAGAGGAGTTTTGTGTGTTGCCCAGTGGTAGCTTGGCACTTAGTTGTTTTCTTTAGCAGGAGTGATATGGTTTAGCAGCTCATCAGAGAAAGCACACAAGAGCTAGACAGCATGATCCAAAAAATAAAAAACCCAAAGGGGTATTTTTTTTTACCTCTGTTTCTTCTGCTTTATCACCTACATAACCGCAGTATATTTTTGCATCTTCTTTGCAGGTTCTCAGGGCAGCAGCTGCTTTACTGTAGTGTAAGCTTACTTACTTTCCACATACTTTTAGCTTCTCTCTGCCCATCTCTCTTTCAGATCTACATCCTTCTGACATGTTATGAATGTACCAGTTTCTGCCAGTTGTTTCTAACAGACAGTCTAGAACACATCTTCATCATGGGCCAAACATGATATCTTTTGGGTCATGTTTGGCCATCTATGATGCTTTTGTCTTTTCTTCTACTCTTGCAAGTTTCAAAGGTGAGAGGATTTTGTCAATCAAACACTTCACTGTGTATTCTAATATCTCCACAGTTGTGTAGTTATTATGTGAGTTAACTTCAAAGAGGCTTATAAAATGTTGCAAGTTAATATGGGGCTCCTTGTTGTGATCTGCTCCTTTTTTCTGTAACATCCATACATTTCAAGTAGACCAATAGAATTTTCTTACGTGTGAGAGATGTATCTTGATATGTAGCACATCACCAGGGTAGTAAAACTATGTTCAGAGTCTGACTGATACCTTCAAAGTATCAGCCATCCAATATCCATTGTGTCCCTTGGTGGGATGCAGATGAAATTTTATAGTCACCTAATCTGCACATAATCTAACAATTGTCTATTTGGACATGAAAAATCAACTTTGTCTGCAAGTTATTTTGGCCAATTCTGAAAATATGTTCTACTACTATACTAGGTTGTCATGCCTACTTGTTGCCCCTGCATGGCTGCTGTCAAGACAGAGCAGATTTGCAACTTGCTCAGCCAACTATTTGATGATTCCCTATAGGTAACAGCTTTCCAAGTGCTACAAAACTGCTGTACTGATTCTACAAAGCCATCTTCTCTGGAGGGTTGTACACTGGAGCATGGCCAGGGAGAGTAGCAGTGTATGCATGTATGCGTTAGTGCAAGGCTACTCGAAAACATTACAAAGAACTAGATGGTGTTTCTGATAACTATGGGTACAAAGAGTACAACATATACCACCAATGCTCCCATGGCAAATATAGTTCACCCACAGTCCTTTATTGTAACTCTGGTAGATAGATACAGCATTTTGTCATTACCTCTGCTATTCTGGTGAGGAATTTCAGAGCCAAGTTTCCTTGTACGCAAGCCAAAGATACACTGTCTGATAAAACACATCTCTCTTATTTGCCCATTTTTGCATCATATGCTGAACATAGTCATGGAGAATTAGCTGATTCACTGTATGAAAGTAATAGCTCTATGCACTTTATAATTTCAGGAACTGTTTTGGGGTTTTTTTACCCAGAGTACAGGGGAACCAAAAAATACCTTAGTAATTATTTTAAAGTAGGCACTGTTATCATTCATGTGGTGTGAAGACACACAAAGGACTAATGGAGGCAAAGTTTATAATCCCAAATATTGAGTCCATTCAGGCTTATCATGAGCCTTTACTGCATGTGTATGGACAGTCTGGATGTATGTATAATGTAGCAGCATCCTATTTTGAGCTGTCAATACAGAACAGTATTGATGATACTCTCTGAATAACTTTGTATTGCAAAAGCAGGTATCATACTGGGGGTTTATATTGTTTTATTTCTAATCTTCATGGATTATTTATCTGAATTCATATTAGTACATTTTTTCTTCTTTAAGTTTGTCTATCTCTGCTTCACCTTGCAGCAATTGCCAGCAAAATTTTCTGTTGTGCTACCTCAGATAAGTACATTTTTTCTCTGTCTCTTTAAGAAGTTCTGCTTTTCATTTGCACATTAAAACTTAGCATCAGAAATAATGAAAGGCTTTAGTTTTCCAAGATGTGGCATATAATTTCTCAGTCTACTGATGCACTTAAACTAGAATTTAAGTTGATGTGTCTAAGTAGCATTGCTGATGTGATATGTATATACATTTTTAATAAATTCTAAGGAAAATTTAGAGAACTTTAGAATAATTTGGGAAATCCTTTGTGGTTTAGCCCATGAGAAATCACACATGTTGGCTCAAAGCCTCCTGTCTAAATTCCATATTTGAAGCTGGAAACTAAATATGAGCTTAATCTCTATCACACTTGTAAAGAATATTTCCTTGCTTTTTGTGCTCTATGAAAACCCTGTGACACCATTTCTTTTTTTTGTGATTAAATGTTGCTTGCAATCATGAATATCATACAGATATTAAACCTAAACAATTTGGGGGAAAAAAAGGTCACTAAAGAATTCACTTTTGCCATGTCTAACCAGACATTTTGGCCCAGCTGATCAGCTAGTTGTTTCACCAGCCTTAAAGAAGCTACTTCAGTTCATTATATTATGAAGAGATTTTACCCCATCCATCTTTGATAAACACTAGCTGTTTTAGAACTGATCTATATGTCATATTTCAAGCCTATAGTCATTTAATTTACTCTTTCTCCACCCCTGTCCCCCCTTTAACTGTTTCCTTTAGATCTCCGAATATCCCTGGATACACTGGCAAGGTTCATTGGTCAGCAACTCACCCGGCAAATTCTAATCTTCCATCAACAACCCCATCAGTAATTGCACAAATGCATGGGTAGGTATGAGGTATATTTCTCAGATTGTTCAGAAAGATTGCAGGGAAAATCATAATTGCATTTATTTAGTTAAAGAACAATTAAATGTTCAGCATGGCATACCATTGGCTTAAAAACTGCTAGACAGTTGGGGTTGAATCCCACTACATTACTGTCATGCTAGGCTGAAATCCTTCTGAGGTTTTAGAATTTTTCTGGAACATCATAAGGTATGTGTTGGGAATGTACCTTATCACTGAGGTAAATCATGATTTCTAAACATGGATTATTTCTGCACTGATAAATTTTTTCTTTAGCTATGGTTGCTAAGTCATGCTTTGTGACTTTTTTTTTTATAACTAATCTCTTTGTGCTTTGAAAGAGACCCATGAATGTCAAAGATAAAAATTCCCGAAACAAAACTATGTGGACCAACTAGGTGTTGGCAGACCTATGAAATGGGTATTTGCTATACAAAAAAAGTTGTTAAAAATGGGTAGCTTTACTTAAAAGGCAGTAAGAGGCAAAATCATGCCATGCCATCACACTGGTGCAGCCCAGGACCCTGTGACTACAAGATCATCATAGCTCCCCATCACTATTGTGGCTGCCTCTTGAAGTGAATTAGTAATTTTTATTCTCTCTTGCTCTTCCATACAAGACTTGCTAAAACTATAGGCCAGTATAAGTATTTAGATGTCTAACTTGTTGTTTTTAAAAAAGAGCTGGAGACTTCAGAACAGCTGAAAAATCCCATCCCTTTTGTTAACACAAAGAGATTCTGACATTGGCAAAGGACCAACATAGCCTTTCTCCCAGTAGCTTTAGAATGGCTTAGTAGCTATTTGTTTCTTCTCTCTCCTTTATGATTTTGTGCTTTAGATTCTGTTTTCTTGTTATCCGTAATGATTTAGGATATAGTGAAACTATCCCAAGTTTCCATGTTTTCCTGAGAAATTTATATTCTAACTAAACTGTTTAATTGGCCTTAGGATTCTGTTCACAACACATCACACTCTTTTTCAGCACTGTCAGTGAAAGGTATCCAGAAAACACTTGAGAAGCTTTAGTTTGCTCCCTGGCTTTTAAAGAATTCATCTTGTCAAGTGTTTCATCATTGTGATCAATGCACTGACTTCTGTTTCTGCTGCTCTCCATCCAGTCACCTCTGCTCTTTTTCTTTTGTGCTTATACTTGGAAAATAGGCAGTCACCAATAGTCACAGGTTGCTGTTGACAGGGAATGAAAAGATGCAACAGAGTCCTGAGTCCCTGTAGGCTAACAAACCTGAACTCAAAGCAGCCTGATGCAAGACTAATTTGCTTGTAAATGTCACAGACAAATAAAAAGGCAAATGCATCCCTAGCAAAGATCACTGGCAGACTTCAGACAGGTACCAGATTTCAAGAGCAAAAATACAGGTGCCACTGTGATCTAAGAAAGGAAAACACATTGTTTACTTCTTTTTTACTTTACATAGATGTTACTGTGGATGTGGCTCACAGTGGATGAATTTTCTTTGTTTTCACTGGACAACAAGATGAGAGATCTCCTTCTGTGCTAATGGATACTATCTATTAGCAGTAGGTGGTATCCCTGGTTGCAAAATTATGACAGTTCCATTTTACTTTCTCTGATCCTACTTGTTGAGTAAGTTAGTGCTCACTGAGTTAAGATGGAAGGTTCTAGACCTGTATGAAGCTGCTGTGTAAAACTAAGAGGGATGCTGAGAATCTCCCCTCGACATTAGTTAGTGATGCCCATAAAAGAGAGATGCTTAACATTTGATTCTTTCCCTTTGTAAAATAAATAATAAAATATTCTGATTATTTCAGTGGTCACAGACCAATCTAGACTGTAGTGGAAAGGTGAAGGGAAGTGAGATTATTCCTGGAATTTCACCTCCATGTGCTCTTCATGTAGGATGTGAACTCATTCTTACCATTTTTTAAATGGTGGCCCTTTTTTTTTCTCTCTTTGATCATTCTCAAGCCATGATTGTAATAATTTCTCAGAAAATAGCAAGTGATTACATGTGGTGGATGTTCTATAGCTTCTTTATTTGACAAGTCTGCAACATATGGTCAGTCTCCTGAAGACAATTACGGGTATCAAAGGGAGGCTCTTGTCTACTGCTAACATGGTCTAATAAATGTTCCTGTCAAAATGTTCAGCAATATCAGATAGGCCAGGCAGCATGCAACCACTTCTGCACTGTATTTCTATCACATGGAGTTGCCACAGTATGTGGTGTAAAATCCCTTATACCAGTGTTAAACATTCTGAAGTCAACAGGATTGTATAGGATATGCAACAGAAGAAGTATGGTTTCTTCATCTTTGAATATGAGTAGCATTTTTATGTGTCGGGCTTTATTGATGTGTTTTTATTGTATTTTTATTTCCAGGTAATCCCAAGGTGAAGTCAGAAAATTAGGTTTCAAAATCCTTTAATGCAATTAAATGCTGGCAGATGTTTAGCTTTTGCATAGGAAGGAATGTTTTATCTGTTGTTTTGTTTTGTGTTTAAAAGAACTGTCTACTGCTACACAGAAAACACAAATCCAATTACACCTCAAGTGGCATAGAAACACATTGGCTTCACCATAGTTAATGTAAGACAGTGCTAGATTTAGTTTGATTTTTGAGAGAAGGGTTACACCCTTTCAGCAAGTTGCTTTGAAGATTTCAAAAGGTAACTTTAGGTTAAAAAAGATGGTTTTTGTTTGGAGAGTGAGTGAGCATAAAACTCTGTGGTATGTTGTGTGTCAACCATGGGCTGTAAAGCAAGCATATGATGGTGCCAACAGTGTATTTTTAGAAGGCTTGAAAGACAGATCTCCAGATCACCTTCATGCACCACGGGGCCTTATGTGCTTGACAGCATTTGGCATTCTCCTAGCAGGTCTGCATAGATAGTGTGCAGGTTAGTTTTGAAACAACTATTAGGAAGATTTACCACCATTTTTCCTAAGGAGGCTGATTCTAATACTATGGAATATTGCAAATTGTTAATGTTATTTGAGGTCAGTGGGCGTAGCCATTTATGAAGAAAGCAGTGAGAGGGGAAAAGAGGGAATGTTTAGGAATATGACAACATGTTTTGAAAGTCTTTTTTTCTGTCTTTGTGTGACTACAGATACATAGCCAAACATGGAAGCTTGTCTCAGTTATAAGCACCAAGGACCTTTGTCTCCACTGGTGTCTCCAGCTGGTCCTCAGAATTCTTCCAACAAGACAGAACAAGAAACTATTACAGTTTAGAAAGTGTCAGTCCTTTTTACCTGCATAACTCAGAGCCCCAGTGTCTGACAGTGAGGAGGAAGGAAATGTATGAAGATGTGTGGACACTGTAAATACGGAACAAAATAAAATAACGCAGAAGTGGGTGTTTGTGGTAGTCCTTACTGCATTATTGTCATATTTATGAGTTACTAACATTGACAGTTAAAACCATATCAAGAACAAGAGGAGTCATAAGTCAAAGGCTTAAAACTTGTTCTCTGTACTGGACTGCTTTGTTAGCTAAGGTTGAAAATGATGCTGTAGCTGTCCCATCCATTGACATGAACATTTTTTTAGATATATGTGTATACACACACACATGTGGACACACATATGTAAATGTATTATTAACTATGAAATCATTACAGAACAGCAGTTCTTCTCACCAGCTCTCCCAAGTGTGCCTTGCAAAGATGATTAAATGTCACAGAGTGAGATTTTAACCTTTGCCTGTACTGGCTTTCTGTGTTGCAGTGAATAAAAGGGGCCAGGTTATGTTCCCTGGTTTGGAGGCTAATTAAGACTGTGTGCCTTACATCCATGCTTAAATACTTTCATGCTTAATCTGAAAACAGTTAAATAGGGAATACAAAGGGCCAGTACTTAAGCATTTATCTCGGCTTTGTTTTATTTTTCTGATGTTGATGTAGACAACATCAGGAAGGAGCATCCCTGAGAAAGAGATCAAATGCACATTAATAGGTCAGGGAGTTCTACTGTGCTCCAGGGGCCAAAATAGTCCAAATAGTTTATTCTAATTTGGACTGTCTTGCAGCTTCCCCTGAAGCTTCTGTCCCTAGGTTTCTGGTATTATCCCAATAATCTATTCCTGCTCTGTTACCTCTCCTGCTTGCTTTTCTCAAGTACAGGCTTCTCCAGGCTTTTGAGGTGTATGTATGTGTTAACAACATATGTAAGCAATAGCTTTCCCATGGCCACTTAAGGGCTTTCTGTGAAGGATTGTAAAGTGCACCAATGGTGAAAGGCCTTTTCAAGAGCAAACTGAAGACTCATTGAAAATACTGAAAGGTAGGGAACATATACCACGGAGCCAAAAGACAGCAAACCCACAGGAAGCACTAACATCCCTTAACAAAGGGATTAGATCCTTAGGAGCAGTAATGGGAATTGAGCATCCAAATCCCTGACACTGCTGTGCAAATCTCAGTCACAGAGGATATACAAGCCCCTAGGGAATGTGAGATGACAGCTAAGCAAGACACTAGGATATACCATTTCTCCTAATAAGACTGTAGCAGGTTGTTTATCCTGATTTGGGGCAGAAAGATTCCAGCTGTTGAAATGTCTGACCTACGAAGAAACTTCTACATTTCTAGCTTTATTTTCATTGTGCACAAATCACCAATCACAGATATTTTTAAAAGAGATCCTCTCATTTAATCAGTTTGCGTGCCTTTAAACCTTACATGGACACATGCAAAATTAAAGCCTATGTACAGGTACAGGAAGGTTGCAACCTGCCTTTGCCTTTGTGCTTGTCCATTTGGAATTACACATGTATACAAGCCAGTGAATATTTTAGGTGAAAACAGCCTCTTTTGCAAATTTGGCTTATTATGGCCGATTGAATTATTACATACCATAAAAAAATATTTGCAGATTTGTTAGTGGTCAAAAATGCTATGTTGTTATGTGCTTGAGAAGGATTGCAAGTCAATCTTTCAGAGCCCCAACTCTGCAGTTCAAAGAGAGCAACATGACTTTGGGTACAAATGTAGGAACTGTCTTTGTGCAATTCAATGCAGGATCAGAGCTATACCTTGATCTGAAACTTAAATTCCATTCAAACTAGCAGATGAGAACTGATTGTATTTTATACCAGTAGTGGGCTGCAAATATTGACTGCAGACAGCTGCCATCGTTTGACTAAGTTCAGATTGGTTGCTTTATGTATAAAAACATTTTACACATGGCATAATTAAAGCACAATAATCTAATGATGTGGGAGCTATACTTAAAATGGATTGGTTGTCAGCTGGATAATTCAGCATAGTTTCCTCTGATTTTACAGATTGGTTAAGCACCAGAATTCCTACATCTAGGGAGTGAAAGTTGTCTTAGAGGTCCTTTAGATATATAAATTTGTAAAAAAAAAAAGTACACTTCTCCATACTGATAGATCATGCTGAGGGAATCTATTAAGAAAACAAAACAAAACACTGGGGAGGAAAGATATTTTTAAAGTCAGTTTCTAGTTACTTTCAGTTTCTCTGAAAACTGGAGCAAAGAGCAACAAGCTCTAGGACTTAAAGAGCAATGCTGCATCCAAGCTGTAAAGAAGTCCCTCATTTTACTTAAAATAAGCTAACTAAAACAACAATAAGCACTTTTAAAAACTTTTTTTCCCCCATTAAGAAGTTATTATTATAATAAATCTATATTTCTATATTTAAAAGTATAAGATAGTATTCCTTAAAAACTCAAGGAGGGTAAATTTTCAGGTAGGAGAACTTACAAAAGTAATAATTAAAAAATAGGTATGTGACACATTCAGTATAAGGATATCCTGATTCTACTGGCTGGAATAGAATT